CAGTTGGTGTTATGATAATTGTTGAAAGTTATAAGAAGTATGAAGTGTCTGTTTTTAGTAAAAGATGGCTTAGTGATCGTTTCCTGTGGTAACTGGTGTCTTTTCTTATAGAATAGCTGAAAAGGTCCTATTCCAATCCAGTAATAAATCACTCCGACAGTTACTTATTCCGAGAAGGCAGTCCAGCAGTAAAATTGCTAGGTAATCTTGTGAATACCTAAATGTACAATAAGCCTGGTGATATAAGTTCCTTGGATGTTCTTGGGTAGCTTGAAGGAGGTGAAAATTAAATGGAAAACGGTACATCCAGCTGCAGGTGGTCAGATCTGGAAAGATTAAATTATAGAGTTCTATTCACCAAATATAGGTACTACCCCCAGTACCCCAAATTTCAAATTCCCCTTAATTTCGTATAGTGTCAAATAGAATATCTAATTATATCAATAGGATGTATTGCAGTAAGACTTGAGATAGCAATACATATATAGGTAGGCTGCACTTGGATGGTATACCTTATACATGTGGCATAAATTATTTTGCTGTTGATTCAATTTTCAAAATCCTCAAAAATAATTGCGTTATGACTCAATTATTTATATGTTTTAATAGTGACTCAATTAATTGTATCAAATAATTGCGTCAATTGTATCAAGGATCTATGAATTTCAGCAATATGTATAGTTTATAACATAGTGATTAATACTCCACAGATCAAATTATAAGATAATAATTCAAATTCTTCAGAAAACTAATGTAAAATCTCTGAAAAAATCAAAAAAGGAAGAATTAATATCTTTTGATTGCTATTACAAGATACCAAGTTCAATTCCAAGTAAAAGCAATTGAATTGTCTTAATATAATATCTGATGCTATAACTTAATATGTGCTGTTTTCTATAAGAAGCCAATTTACATATTGATTTAACAAGCATTAGAATTATAATACCAAGAAAGCGTAGTAGCATGATAATCATCTGGCAGTATTATGATAATCATTGTTAAGTTTGATGTTTTTTTTGTTTTTTATTTATGGAGTATACTTCCTTATCCCTTTAATTTACAAGACTATAAAAGAAATCCTAATTTTTCAAGAGATCTAGCTAGAATCACAAAGACTTCTTATCAGATATGGCTAGTTCATAACTGATCATATTAGAATACAGTTCTTTGAATTTTCATTTATCAGATAGTAGGTAAGACTAGAAGATATACGAAAATTTTTTTATATTTTTATTAAAATTTTGAATATATTTTAATATATTAGTACTCTACTTATATGATCAGGATTCTGATATTGATAATATAGAAAGAATAAAGAACAATAAGTTGACCAATAGATAAGGTTAATTCAAATCTTAGGTAGTTTTACTTGGGAATTAACAGTAGAAAATTTGTATAATATAAATTTGTATATGCTATATAAAGAAAACCTTATAAAACAAAGACCTACCCAATCATAGTCCAGTGGGCTAAGGCAGGATAGGACTAACCTATGAACTAAGGTTCAACCCCAGCTAGGGGCAATTCACATATTCCAAAAATGGAACTTTGTGTCACTACTCCTGTAACTCATGATAGAAAGCAATTTGGATTGTTCCGGTGATCAAGGAGCTTTATGGGTAGACTACACCCCATAGGTCAAAAGATAGATGATCTGATTGGTAAAACTTTCTGATCAAGTATTGCCCAGAAAATACTTCCAAAAGGGGGAAGAAGTTTCATGGGATCTTTTCAGTAGTGGAAGGAAAGGTACAGACAACTAAAACCATTAGTCACACAACTATCAGTAAGAGTTTCACATGTCTGTTGATAGCGAGAATCCAGTTGGGATTACAGGAGGTCACTTGTATCACAAGATGTTCTATCCTAAGGGGTACACTTGCGACAGTTGATTGCATGCTCCCATAAATTGTAACCCCTCGTATATGTTGCTAGGTCAAATTAGGAAGGGTGAGGCTGAATCCGATTCCCAGGCAAATTTGGTGTACTGGTGTACCCTCATCCTGCCAATAATATCTCACTGACTAAATCCTAATAAGTCTTGGCTAAACTGAACAGTTGAAATACTATAGTGGTGACTACAGGCAATGATTATCTTGGCAGACTAATAAAGGTTTGCTTGCCTTGATATAGCAACTTTTCACACCCACCATCTATACTTAGAGGTTTAGGCCTAAGACGAGTAATTAGGACCTACGTCATCACTCCTGTATCCTGGAGAAATACCGGGAGACTAGCAGGTGATCAAAAAAGGTATCTAAATTGACGGCAAGGGTTAAAAAAAAAAATTAAAAGATGAAAAAAATATTTGTTTTTTTAATTTTAAAAAACAATTATTATAAAAAGAAATTTTTAAGAAAAATGTCAAATATGGCAAAGAGTTTTTTTAATTATATACTATTAGTATCTTTTATTTTTTCAAAAAAACTTTTTTTCACTTCTCTTTCTGCACTTAAAAATTTTTCAAAAGAAAAATTTTAAGTTGTTTATTTTTTTTCACTTCTTTTTTACTTCTCTTCTTCTATACCTCTTTATTTCCCTTTTTTTATTTTTACTCTTCTTTTCTATATACTTTTTTATATATTTTATTCCTTCACCTTTCTTTTTTTCTTTCCCTGCCAAAGTTAGATTTTTCTTTTTTCCTAAAGGTTTTCTTTCTAAGCCTCTCTTTCTTTTATAAACCTGTTCTCCATAACATTAATCTTCTGATCAGTTGACTTTCTTTTCTCAAGACTATATTTAGAAGTGATAACTTTTCTTAAGACATGGACTTTAGAATTTTTCTCTCTTTCATGGCCTTACAGGAAAAGTACAAATGATTTATTCTCTTCAAAATATTGACATAGTTATTATTACCAAATCCAATATTGTTTACTTGTTGATTATTAAACTAGATATATCTAAAAAACCAGTGTACAACTATTATTATTCAAAAGTATTCAAGAAAATATGTCTTACTATATCTAGAAGGATATGGTAACCAATGCCAATGCAACTAACAATAAGCTAGATTAGTTTGCAGATGTTATGCTAGTAATTGAAGAAATCTAGTAGGATAATATATGAAGACCAAGGATTATAATTATTCTTATAACACAAGCTAGTGACAATAATGAAAGTTTTTCACATATCTTTCTGATAATGTAAGCTTATTGTACAAGATTAAATATTAACACTTTTAAGAAACATCAATTTCAATATACAGTATATACAATATCCTTCTCAATAAACTATTATCTTATATCCAAACTCCTTTTATACTTTCTAGTTTTAGCTTACCCTAAATCCAAAACACATCTTTTGAAGCTATTCTAATAGTAAGATTAATTGCCACTTCCTAGCTTATAATTCTAGTAATAGATTCAAATGGAAGCCAATGCTAGGTACAGTTGATGAAAAATTGATCTTGCATTAGGATCATTTTGATGATAAAAACAGTTGCCACCTTCTAGCCTTTAGTCCTAGTGATAGGTTCAAATGGAAGATTAATGCTAGATACAAATAGTGAAGGACTGATTTTACTTTGGTGTAAATTGAGTTTAGTATAGCATGAAACCAACACTTACTTTACTTGTTATATATCAAGTTATATTTCAAAAGCAAGTGTGCCAGTCCTAATCCTAACCTGGAGGCAAACCTGTATATAATGGCTGCAGTGCCTTCATGTGATTAGGTAATCATTTTTTTCTAGGTAGCTAAATACTATTCAAAACATAATACAGGTTTTGAAATTCTTTTTTCTATATTCTTGGATGATGCTAAGGAGCACAAAGGATGAACCACATTCACAGAGCCTTGTATTTAACTCTTTTTAACAAAGAAAAATGTATGTTATACTGTAAATGTATTATAAATCTTATACTCACAAGCCTAAAATTATAAAGTATAATAGCTTTCTGCTCTTTCAAAAAAAAAAAAACATATATACTTAAATAATATTGTTAAGTCTATTGTTTGTTTTAATACAATATTTATAAATAATTTTATTATGGTAATACTTGTTATATCTTGTAATTTCAGCATCGACGTAATATAATTAAAACAATTTTTATTGGCTAGAATCACGTAATTATTAGTGAAACATTTCTCGTTGTTTACTCAAGAAGGCATTCATTCCACCTGACTTTTACCGAAGCTGAACGAGGTCAAGTATTTTTTCACGTTTCTACAATGAAAGATACGTTAACGGTATCCTACGCCCATATGGTTCAGCCCTTTGGCCGATGCTTGGATTAGAGTGCTGTGGGTAAATCGCTATGACTTGTTACATATTCGTAATGGCTCTTAGTGCCTCAGCCTGGGCCTCTATTCCAGTATACCGACAATATATTATCCTACGCCCATATGGTTCAGCCCTTTGGCCGATGCTTGGATTAGAGTGCTGTGGGTAAATCGCTATGACTCGTTACATGCTCGCAATGGCTCTTAGTGCCTCAGCCTGGGCCTCTATTCCAGAATATATATTGTCATTATAACTTCTATTTATTGTAATAATCCAATAGATTATTCTATTATAATTATGTTGTTTAATATCACCACATTAACATTCTTTTTTAATATGGAATTTGATCGTTACTCGGACACCTATGTGCTCAGTTCCAATACTAAGGACTTGAGTATTTTAAACTTTTTTAATTACCTGAAAATTAAATGAGTGTTCACATCAGATAGCAAACAAGAAGCCCAGGATGCGCTTACAAGAATGATTGAAAGAGTTATTGATTCGCTTATTATACAGGCTGGGATAAAGAAACGGTTAAAAAAAAAGTCCGATAATATCGGTGATACTTTTGAAAGAAAGGAAATCGTTGAGTTTTTGCGGAATTGGCAATTGCTGTTTTGCATGATATGGCCCTGTATATATATTTGAAAACATTAATTTATCGTATGTAGAGGCAAAATCAACAAAATCTCGAGATGTCTTATGATAAGTATAGCTCCGAACTACTACAAAGTCTGTTATTTTAAATACACCTAGACTTTCATCTTATTATATGACAATGTCTGCCGAATTTCACGAAAAGGTATGATCAATGTTTTTATTCTGCTCGTTCCAAGCTTGATCGCTAACTTTAAACCCGTATTTCTTTTTTATATCACCTAGGGAGAATTAACTTCTGATCAAGCAATTATGATTCAAGAAAAAGACGAGAACAATAAAGAAGCAATATTAAGATGGATATACTGCGTCACCTTCACTTGATAAAAATGAACAAGATGCGGATTTTGCTGTTGAACAGGATACGGATAACATGTATTACCAGGAGCTGTCATCAGTTAAAGTCTGAAATCTCTATCTTTTAATATTTCATTATTGTCTGTTATTAAATGAGCCTTATCTCATAATAGACTTCATTAAATTCGGTTATCGAAAGGCCTGTTAATAGTGAAGGTGCGATAGTCCCAATCTCCAAGCGACCTCAAGAGGCAGATGCTTCTAAGCGTGTAAGTACATAAATAACAACCTGCAAATAATAGTTAGTACATATGAATTACTTTCAAACCTTTTCTTAACTTTGGAGTGCATACAGACTAAAAATAAAAACGAATAGTGGTTGAGGAACATATCTCTCAAGAAGATTTGTTAAACTCGGTGAACGAAACATCTAATACCTTCAAGAAAATAGAGTTCTCAACGTATTACGATAAACTAAAAACCATATGAAACACTTGTGATTCCGGAACGAATTATTTTGTGTTAGATTTGGGAGACAAAGTATTAGATCAGTGCACAATCTTTTGGAAGATTGTGAACTAGAATCGCTGTTCGAGAGACTATCGTTAGAGGATAAGAATCAACGTATGAGTAAGACTGCACGTAAATATATGATGTTGTTCGACCAAATTATAGAAGAATCTTTGGATGAAGAGAAGAGGATGCGAAGGATGTTGAAGAAGAGTGGAAGGGTATGTGGGGAATGTTGCTGAAAATGGTATCGAAACTGAAGATAAATCTGCTTCCGAAATGGGAAAAATAACACATAGTTTGAATGGAACAGTCAAAAAACTTCGATTCCTCATCATTCTCATTTCAGTGCATGACTACGATCAATTCCAATCTCCAGACGTACATATTATTAAAAGTGTTTCCAGCCACTTAGATTTTGTCACTAAAATGAAAGGCATTGTGAAGAACACTGCTGAACAATCATGGACATCGCATATTTTGGCGTATCTTTTTTTTATTGCATTAAGTTTTCTTGATTCCGTGCAATATTTTTCTTGCGAGCGGACTCTCAACCCACAGATGATCCGGATCCCGATAAGTTCAAGGCAGAACTCCCAACATGGAACGTTTGTAAAACATTAGGAATTTTCCCTACTCAGGCATTTGGTAAGCTATTTTCAGAATATTTTCGAGCATGACTACATTACTTTATTTTAATATATGGGTAATTATTTTGGAAGGCGACAAAAATGCTAGATATGATTTTTTCGGACCCAACTTTTAAACAATACATATATAGTATAAATTTTAGGATCACGCTAGAAAATTTCCGGTCCGCCTTCGAAAATAATTACCCATATAATATACTATTTATTACAGATGATGAGCTCGAGATCGGTCAGATTATTTATATTGGTCCAGGATCATACCTATTTTCACCATTTACGATACCTAATCCAATTATTCTAACTTCCGCTACTAATTTGGAACATGTGTCTCGACTAATTCGATCATTATTATGTTTGCGAGATAATGTTGTCAAGATTGAAAAATTCAAGAAATTCGAAAGAAGTGGACAACGTCGTATCATGAAACCCACAACTAAATATGCTACCGGGGTTTCACCAGGCCGGCTTAGAACTGTAACTTTTGCTGAATTTTATCTAAAGAGACATCTAGTAAGGTTAATAGTAATAGATAAGGGAATGTAACAGGAGGAAGAGGAGGAAAAGGTCGTATTTCAGAAATTTAAAAGTTTGTGAATTTATTATATATGTTACTAAATATGATTCTTCTTTTACTACAAGCACATACAAACCCATTAATAAAAAATTTCTCCCAACGTTTATCTGGCATATTGGTACTAGTTTAATATAATAATAAAGCTTTTGTATACATTATAGTGATCAGCGTTGCAATTTGTAATGCGCATGTGAATTTATTTTATTTATTTACAAAAATTATTCCCACTGAAGCATTAGTCTATTTCCATTTCACATGGGATTTGAGGGTGTATGCCAATCTTTCGGTAATCTTCTAGGAGAGGTTGACAAAGGTAGTGGAATCTGGCCTCTCGACATTTCCAGTGCTATAAAAACAGTCAGTATATATTTTTTTTTAAATATGAGGAAAAAAAAAGTTTCAATATATTGGCTTCGAAACAAAGTAGGACATTGAGAAAAAAGGCAAAACTACAGAATCTGTTAACCTGTCTCTTACCAATTATGAAGCTTGCTTATAATATCTTGAAAATTTTTAAGACCTTATAGTAGGAGATAAGGAAATTCCAGAGCTAAACTGTTTGAAATGTAATAACATAATTTTAACATGTTCTCCAAGGGTAATTACATTTTTCAATTGTGGCCACACTTTTCATAGTATATGTGTTGAAAAAAAGCTTCCACTGATTATACCAAATATATGTTGTTGGTCTGAAAAACGGCGAGTCAGTCGCTTCACTGGTCCAAAGATAAAATTATTAAAGGTAAGTTGAGGCATATAAGATTGATTTAGCTAGGACTTTCATTATTAATAAGCATTTCTCTTCTTTCCCAACACTAGCTCTTTTCTTGATAATCCTGGGCTATGTTCTATAGTGATGATTATCCTTCTCTAGATGGTGCATACTTGAAAAGGTAAGTTGTTAATTACAATATTCCTTATTTGGTGCTTCAATTTTACTAATCATTGTGTTTATTAATTACACTATTGTTTTTACTATTTGCTTCCTATCTCTTTATCTATTTTCTATCTACCTATCTCTTGTTCATTTTACAATCGTGTTGCTATTTATATTGTTGCTTCTACTAAAAACAATTAAGGGAAAATAGACTATCGGAATTAAAATAAACTATGGGTAAGTTACGTAAGCTTCTATAACTATATTTTCTATATTGATTACTAATGCTACTTCATATTTCCAGGGTACGTGATGTGGTAGTCACAGTATATGACTATACCCCATGACTTTTATAGGGCTAACAATATCCATTTTCTAATTGTAGAAAAATATTGATATTTTAGAACTATAGTATTTTCTATTAATCAAGAGCTGTCATTATTAATTAAGTGAAATTTTATCTTTATTCAACTTAATGGATAAAACATTTGTCCTATTTTCACTATCTATATGAATAGAAGAGATTAATGATATAGCAATTCAGCAAGTCAAAAGTATTTTAAAATGTGCTAAATGTTTTGAAAATCTTTTTTCATATCTTCTTTCTTTAGATTTTTTTCAAATCTTTTTTTAAGTTCTCTTAAAACCACTTGTATATTTAATCTGCAAGTATATTATTCATTATAATTGTATTAATAATTTATAAAAACTGTTCTATATGCCTATTAACTAATATAAAAATTAACAATTTAAAAGATTTAACAAAGCAAAGTTCAAGTAATATATATTATACATATCTAAAAAGGCAAAAAGAACTAAGAAATCAGTTAATCAAAATTAAATTCTCTATATTGCAAAAACTGATTAAAGAGTTAAATATTATTAATTCTAAAAATAAAAAAATTTTATAAATTAAACTTATTTCTATTAAAACAATAACTTAAATATCTTTCTTAATCTATATAATTAAATTGTTACTAGTAAAAAAAACAATATGATAAAGAAAAAATCTAATTATTATAGATTATTAAATTATAAATATTTGAAATTTCAGTTTTTAATTAATAATAATATACAAAAACAACTTTTTAAAAATATTTTAAAGTTCAAAAAAATATTATTTTTTCTGTAATGTTAATTTTTTTTTGTTTCTAATTAAATTGCAAATAAAAGTGTTTATTAATTCAATTTTAGAGAACAGTAATACAATATATATAATATTATATTAAAGCTAAACTAGCATAATTTTGCAGAACACCTATCCATAAGTTTAGATTTGTACTAAATCTGAACTCTCTAGATATGATTGTAGGGAATAATAATATTACTTCTTTTCAAGACAAGATATTAGAAATCTATATTTTGAAAAATTACTGCCAGCCTATATTTAAACTGTTATTTCAATATGAACCTGTAGTTCTAAAAGATAAAAATTTTTATTTTTTAAAAAATTAAAAGTGAAAAGAAAAAAGAAAAAGAAAGATTTGTACTGATAAAACAAAAACTTTCTTGACTACTATCTAATTTGACCACATGTAGCTAGAGAACCATTTAATTTTTATTATTTCATTGTTAATTAAGAACATTTAAAAGCACTTTTAGGAAAGTATTTCTTGAAACTTTATACTCAAAAATTTCTAACTTTTAAAGAGATTTAATATTTCAATTGGCAATTTCTCTTCCAGCCAAATATCCAAGAATTTATAGTTTCATTTAATCAGTGGATAGTTTCAAGACCCTTTTTTCTAACCATTTTCAAGATAATCAATAGTAGAGTTAACTTATTACAAGATTGAAATAAGACCTTTCTTTAATCTTAAAGAAAAACAAAACCAGTTCAAAAGGAAAAAAGAAAAGTACTAAACTACTTCTTTTGTCAAAAAGTACATCTCGTCACCTTGCTTTTTCTACTGTCACCAATTACATTATTAGATATAAGTTATACAAGATAAAACATGTGAGATTTACATGTCTTGTTTATATTTTTTGTTACATGCAGATTAACCAATTCAAATTTTGAGCCAATTATCATTTTAGATTTCAATATAACCAAAAATTTAAGGTCAAACTGAGGTAAGCAAAATTTTTCTAAAAAATAAAAAAAAAAGTAAAATATATATACTTGAGAAATTAGGAGAAGAACTTAAGAAAGATAAAAGTAGAGTTTCAAAAATCAACAATAATCTTCTTTAGAGTCTTAAATCTTTGAAGAAAGAAGAAAAATATTTTTTCTATAGGTTTTTTTTTTTAATAAAGTATTCTTGACTTTATAAGTAGGTTTTTCTTATATTTACTTGCAGAAATACAAAAGATTTATGTTAAAGAAAAAAAAAACAAGTAGAGAAAGACTAAAATCTTTGGGTAGTAATGTTATTAGAGAAAGTATATAGACTTTGTTATAGAAAAATATAAAATTTCTTTAAAATATTTGTTTTTGAATTGGCAAGAAAATCAGCAGAAAAAGTTTTTTTTTTTTTAAGTAAGTAAACATTATCTCTTTATTATTGTTAAAATTTTAAAATATTTTACATGCTGAAAGTGACAATATTTCTTATATAATCAATTAATCAGTAAGTCTAATACTAGCTTGTCTACAGAAACTATTTAAGTGACATAGAAAATAAATATTAAAACCAATATATTGTATATCCTAAATAGTATCAAGCAGTTATAAATATCTACTCAGGTTTATATATAAGATTATAAGAGATAAAAAATTAAAGAAAAAGAAAAGAAAATACTAAACAAAAAAATATATGCAATAAAACCAATTGTAAAGCTATGAATACTTTGAATAAAATCATTAGATATGTCATGCTGATAGTTTCATTTAACTAAAGTACAATAGTTATACTTTCAGAAATGGTTAGGCTACTGTTCAAAGTGTACAATAGTATTGATAATATATTTTTTTAATAGATAATTAGTTGTAATAGTATTGTTATTGTAATAATAATATGGTGATTTATATTTGAGTATTTGGTGATGATTAGAAGAAAAGTGAAAAAAAGACAAAAAAGTATTTTTTTTCTGTAGTATTAATATAAATATAAATATGAATAAGACTATAATATAAAAAAGTTATAACTTTTTCTTTATTTTTTTTTATTTTTTTTAAAGTGGAATGTACACAAGGCATGTGATCTTTATTGATATATTTATATATCCAGACAGATACCAAGTGTTTCTACAAATTAACTAGAAATTGGTTAGTACATGGATACTTGTTATATTTTTACAGCTAATCTGCATATTAACACTATCTAGTATCTATATTGCTATAAGACTAGCTATACCAATCATTTATAATCCAACTATGCATTCATTTAAATACCTGAAAATATACTCACATATCAAGTGAGACTTTTTGCAAGGAGAAAATCCTACCATTAGTTTAAAACTCATCTAATTTACTAAGTCTATTTTGTAGAGAGCTATATAGTATGGGATATTATTATAGAGATTAATCCAGTTATTCTAGTCATCTGTTATAACTGATCCTCAGAATGTGCCACTAGCATAGTGCAGTACTATCATTTTTTACCACTTGTGAAATTGGCATTCTTGCTTGGATTCTGATTTAATCTTGACGATTCTTACCAGACTCACTTAATCTTAATGATTTTTGCATGGATTGTTATCTCTTGTAACTGATAACCTTTTGCCCTTTCAGTTTATTTAAGTTCAAAAGAACATCATTCATGGGATAGATTCTCAAACTCCAGATTGAAATAAATCAGCTTAGGATTAATTTCTTTGAATTGTATAATGAAGTCTACTGTTGCCAGTTTAGGTTGAGATTTTAATAAGCTTTTATCAAAATTAGACCAGAAGCTTTTTCTTGTGCAACCTTCTATATTTTAACTTATTTTCAACTCATGATCATTAGAAAAACCAGAGATCCTATCATTATACAGTCTAATTAAATTTAAATGAAATTAAGAATTATTGGATATGACATATGTAGAATATCCAGTATACCTATATATGAAAGTAAATACACTTTTAATCTCCTATGAATATTGAACTAGAAACATGTGTTTAGTGATCTGGATGCACTATCCACTATGCTATTGACCCACAGATCAAAAC